AATATAAATAAGTATTGATAATAATACAACATCAATACAAAAGAAAAATTTAAAATTATTAATAAAATAAAATTATACAATAACAATAACAATAAATGTATATTATCGATCATTATATGAAAAAATCAAACTGGTCTCTTTCGTATAGCTTGATTGAACTTGATAACATGTTGAAAATAAATAAAACAAGTTTTTGTTAGTTTGATGCACGTGTTCTTAGTACCAAAAATGATTAATCGACTTTTGTTTCATTAATTATCATAATGAAGAAAAGTATTCTATCTAAAATTTAGGAAATGCAATTGAACGAGTAATCGTTTATATATTTAAATAAATATTTAATCTGATCTCGATAAATGAGTCATTCAAATAATTTTTTTCTATTTTATGTTTTTACATGTTAGGGTTGAAGTATTATTTTATAAACATTGCAAGACAATCGATCAGCAAATTAAAGTATTTCAGCACAGTTATTAAGTCCACAATAAATAAACACATAAAACTCTTTATAGAGAGAAATAAACTAAAACATATTTCAGATGAGTTCATCAATTTAAAGTAATACAAATTAAGCACTGTAATAAATGTTTGCAAAACATAATTTCATTGAATTATACATGTAGAAGCAAAGAGGAAATCGATATATTGATACGAACTATACTAAAAATAACAGTTTCTTTTTTTTCTGAAGGAAAATAATATACTAAATAAACAGAAAAATGAGTTATTCACTATCAAAATGCTTTATTGATCGATAGACTTTATCAAAATATTCTCATAAAAATGTATAAGTTTTTATTAATTATTGTAATTACATTCAAAAAATCAAATGTTAATTTACTATAAGGCATAAACATAGATATTTTCTAAACAGATCTTTGCTGACTAATGTTTTCAAGTAAGAATGCGGAGTTGATAAAGATTTGCTAGTATACATCCTTGATATAGTAATGAATCCATTGAGAAAAACTGACTCTAATCAATGAGTTTTACTATTACCTAATTACTCATATAAAAGATTGTCAAGTTAGTTTTTCAATTAAATAAACAAGTAATAAATTTGTTGGTTCGAAATAATGTAAATGACTTAATAGACCAGCTAAACTAATTAAATCATGTTGTCCATTGATTAAATACAATCGATAAAAAAATCTAATGTGAATAACAAAAATAAAAATATGTTTGACAGGTGATTGTGTAAGAAAAGGACAGTGTAATGCAATTAATGATCGATTTATAGCATCATTTGATTTTTTGGTATTTCTATATAAATAAAGAAGACGCATAAGGAATGTAACGCTGTTGGAAAATGAGCATGAATATTTGAAATTACTGGTATAATGAAATGATGAATTTTTGATAATGGAATATCAAGACCACGACGATCTGATGATTGTCGATCTTGTAAAGCATTAAGATAAATTGAGTCTTTAACAATTAAAAGTAACAGTTTTTGTTGGCATATGAATATCCAAACTAGAGAAAAAAATCAAATAACATTCGTTTTATTTATATATTGAAAAAATAACTTGAACATATCGATTCCGAAAAAGAACTTCAATAGAAATTTGATGTTTATTATTTAATCTAGCATGATGATAAGCTATACCTCGTTTTAATAATGAATCAACTAAATCTTGATTACGTCCTTGTCGATTAATTATTGTATCTCCATTTAAAATACCATCCAAGAATTGTTATTTATGTCCAGATAATGACACTGGATTCTTTTCTTCTTCTATAATTTGTAATTTATCTAAATAATCTTCATTGTCATTACTTTTATTAGAATATTCCGATGCTTTTTTTTGGTTTAGTTTTTACAGGACTTTTCTCAATGAACTCTACACATTTTTTTAATTCTTCAATTTCTATTTTGTTTATCTTAATTTATCTGATTTCTTGAAGGTGTTTAACAATACTTTGAGGGTGGAATATAGGTGATGATATGCATATAGTCAAAACAATATTCATCCTTACACCTACACCCACCCTCAATTCCTATAATATTTTACACAATTACAAAAATAAAATCATTACAGACGATTATTAACCATCAGAAAGATTATATTTCATTCTTTTTTCATAAAATAAACTCTTGCTTCATTTAGTATGAAAGAGCGTATTGAACTATTGTTTTCTTTCAGACAAGCATATTGTTTTTTAAAAAAGCAAGAAATAAATTTCTTATCTAGAGACTACTATTACTGATAATAACTAAACTAATTTCATATTTGATAATTTTATTTAGAATATATTTTATTCTGTGTAAGAATAATTTTTTTTCAAAACATAACACTCATATAAAAAATAAGGACATAAAAATGATGAAAAGAATATGAAAATAGTAATCGAATCTCTTATTTACCTTGGAAGAGTTGTGTGTAATCAATGATTTATCATAGAAAAACTACCGAGTAAACGTGAATCTACTCAGTTAATATTCTCTGTTAACTTTGTCAACCGATCAAATTTATATAATTGATGATGTTTTAAACTTCGATTGAAGAAATGTTATGATTTTAGTTCTAATGAAAGAACGAAAGAGAACAGTTTTTGATGAAAACAAAAATAAATCATTCAATGAAGTGTTGATGAAATGAAAATCATAGATCCTTAAGAATCTTTCTGTGACAAACATTTACAAAATCAATCCTTAAAAACATGTAAACACATAAACTACTCAAGATAAAAGGAATGCATTTTAGATTCCAAGGACACAGACAAATGTTAAGACAAACAGTTTTACGCTCTTTCAACTAAAAGAGAATATTAGGAAGTAGTAGAAAAAAAGAGTAAAGAAAAATCACTTACTGCTGCGCATACTTCATTCTTTTTTTCATTCATCACACGAAAAGTAATGCGACCTATCACTATCTTATTTTCAATCATATCTCTTTCATCTGTAGAAGGTTTGTTACATTATCTATTTTCACTTGACTCTATCATAATATAAATGAATTCTGTAGGACAAACTACACAACCACCTAATTATTCTTGTACTGAAAATAATGCTTCTATTCAGTTTACATTATCTTCATCATCTCATTCAGCTTCAAATCCAACATCAAGTTGTTCTTTACAACAATGTAATACAAGCTTGAATGGTAACAATAATTGTCGTTCAACATCAACACCTTGTTATGATTATCGAACAATAAATAATATTAGTTATTGTGCACCTGGTATTTTATGTTCAATATTAGAAACATGCGATAATATTACACAAACATGTTCATCAAATAATTCAATATGTATCATTAATTCATGCTGTTCATCGCAAGCAGTATGTTTACCATTTTTAGCAACACAAATGTGTAAAACAGGTACTATTACATATTATTTACATGTGAGACTTCATGACACTTAACTAGAACAATTCATTCTTGTCGTAGTTATAGATTAAATATCATTCATTTGTATTAAATCTCTGTCAGATGATACTTTTTTTGTAGCGAAGAGAAATGTAACAGGTGGACTAAAATAGATTTGTGATATGCATTGTTAATTAACAAGATAGAAAAGATATGAAGAACTAAACTCTGTTGAAGTGTTCAGTTCAGTTAGTGAATGACACTTTGATGGAAGCTGATATATTATTTCGTTGGGTATAACATAAGGAATTATAGTCTCTTAATAAATCGATAATGTCTGTGTTTTGTGCTTGAGCTGAAATATTCTGTAAAACAAGCTTTTGTAGAATGCTTTTATCTTTGCATTTGTTGCATTAAATAATAAAATAATATGAATGAATAGATTTAAGAATACACATCGTTATTATAGATTATTTCAAGTAAAACTTATATTTTCCTTGATTTCGTATTTTTATTTGTTCCTCTCTTTACTGTTACTATTATTGTTCTAATAATATCAATTTATAGTTATGTTAGGTATAGTTGAGGAAACATTGTTGACCATCAATATTAAACTTATTGTAAAATAGATGAGTTATCTGAGATGAAGTTTAGCAACAGAGCATGTGTGACGGTGAATCAGTTCTGATAGAGAATCTAAGATTATCATCCTGTGATCAATAACTATCTTATCTTGTCTTGTTTGATTAGATGATTGGGTAAACTACAAATTAGACATTAGGAACTGTCTTTATCTTTAGATCAATCTTTTATTTCATGTTTGGAACATTTGTAAAATTTTGTTTTTTTTATGATAATGTTCATTACTTAAAAAGATGTGAATGGTGTATTGACGAAAAATTGTTTTTGTGCTAATAAATTTAAGTAGAGCATTTGTTTAGAGATAAAATATCACTCAGAATAAAGTCAATTGAAACTAAATAGGTGAATTTGCTTAAATTAATGGAGAACGAACGATGATTTCATAGTAAATTACCAGAAACTTCGAGATCAATCACTCATTTGCTCACTAGTTTATATGGTATATCGGGTCCAGTGATGAATGCTGTACAGTCCTTTGCATACCTATATGCTGATCATAGCAAAAAAATTGGGGTGAAAAATTCACTATTTTGATTGTAATATCTAGAGAACTATGAAAGAGTTAATGAGAAGTTCATGTTTTGTATTCTACAGAATATCTTTCAAGCATAGCTTGTAAAATTTGTAGAGAATCGAAAAACAAATGAGTCAGTGTAATTGTCACAGTGGTCAATTTGAGACAAACATATTTTTATATATTTGATTGAGATAACAGAGGAATTAGAAAATATAGAAAAGTGAAGATGCGATTCTGACATGTGTAGAGATTTTGTGCAACAGACTTGATTACTGTTCTCGTTCTTCATACGCTTGTATAAAGCAGACATATCGAAGACTGTAATATTTAGAATAATGAATGTTGATTGTTTGATTATCTAATGTTGTACAGTCTAAATATATAAAAATGTAACTTCTAGGATGGCTTTACACTGGCAATATGATTGATGTACGACAGTATCACACAGCATCTGTATTATCAAATGGAAAAGTATTAGTTACTGG